GCTATAATCGTAACAAAACAGAGCACTCAGCTGCTGTAGCCAAATTATTAGGCTGTAATAACAACCAGAGCGTTCAGCACTGACCTGCTGTATTTCATGTTATAATAATAATAGTGCCCATGTAGTCTGCACATGTCATTCCAACAGTAGAGTCCTGCGGTCCATCCATCCATCCATCGTCAGCTGCTTATCCTGCGCACAGGTGATGCAGCTGCGCGACAGGTCAGATTTAATTGACGTCGCTTTAAAATGACGACTCAGAGGAAAGGATTCCTGTTTCCTCCTCCTAAGATGCGCCGCGAGGATCGAGGAGTCGAAGAGGCAGGAACTTTGGGAAATGAGAAAGGCCCAAGGATAAAAAGCAGGCAGGGGGATTAGACAGGGGAGACACATGAGGAAATCAGGACGGACAGGATACCCTCTTGGACATGTGAACAGGAGGGGACGGGATCGTTACTCCACATTAGAGCTGCAACAATTAATCAATTAGTCGCTCAGAAGAAGTTAATTGATTACTTTTTTGATGGTTTCAGGTTCTTAAATGTGAGAATTCGTTGCTTTTCTCGGTTTTACAGGACAGTAAATTAAATATTTCTGGTCAAACAAAACAAGACGTGGAACAACATCCCCTGGTGCTCTGCGACATTGTCAGCATTTGTTGTTAGCGAGTGATTAATTGATAATTGGCAGCAACGACAGCTCGCTGATAACGTTAATCACTTTAATTGTAAGCAGCAGGAGTATGAGCGGATACACATATATTCAGAGGCGCTCTTAAGATTAAAGCCACACTCATTGCAGCTTTTAATTGCTCTCTCTGCTGCTCTGAGGTGGAGCCATGTCGTCCTGAAGCTCGTCAATAAAACAGTAAACACAGCCTGCTTTCACTGATCCTGCTAATTCGTTTAGACGACAGCGTGATTATACGACCAAACAAACCTCTCCAAAAAGATTCAGTAACAACTGCTGAGCACAGTTCATTAGTTAATAATCAATCCAAATTGTACCTGCAGCTTTAGTGCTGACCCCATGATAAACCATTAAAAATGCATTTATTCACCTCGACGCTGCACATACCTACAGCTGCAGGACGTTCACGGACACACGGTATGATTTGAGGCTCGTCGCACTGAACGGAGATAATGTTAATAGAATCGTTTGTCCGGGAAGAAATGGGGCTCAGGATTCAGAAAAGCCAAATAAGCTGTTTTATAATACGCAGTTGGAGGTCGTAATGATGCGATGATGGGAGGAGGTTTTTCTTTCAGCCGCTGTGGGGCCTTATCTCACAGCAGCTAAAACAGCATTTCCCAGAAGCCCTCACTCACACTCTCTGTGCCACGCAGGAGATAAGCAGCAGGTGGAAATATGTTTGTCGACACAAACAAGGAAAATGAATAAACGGTGGGAGGAGGAAGGAGGAGAGAGAGGAAAGTTAGGGGGGAGAAAAAGCCCGTGAAAACATTATGACCACCTGCCTATAAAACTGTGTACACTGTAAAGTATACTACTGTACTTTTACAGTCAATTACTGGCTAATAATTGCAGTAAATTCGCAGTAATGTCTTGTGTTTCCACAGTTACCACACAGCAGTACTGTAAAACTACACTACAGTATGGTGCTGCACACTGATCACAGTAAATACTTGTAATTTACCATTTTTACTGTATTATTACCGGAACTCAGCAACCAGTAAATTCCCGTTCATTTACAGCAGTGGTTCTCAAAATGGAGTCCGGGGACCCCCAGCGGTCCTTGAGGGGGTTCCAGGGGGTCCCCAGCAAAAAGGGGAATCATTTATTTTCACTACACATTCCCTCCAGAAGTCACACAATAAATAAACACTATTTTGGTCATGGGTTGAATAAACGTTCTGTAATTAAACATGTAAAAGAAAAAAATCCTATCAGATGGAAGAAACTGGGACAAAATCAGGGTGCGAATTACACAGTGACAACTTTTTTTTTTACAAATTGTACAATATCATTGCTTATTTCACTAATGTGTGCAGTCTTTTGTAGTCAGAGGTCACTATTCTGCAGCAAAACTGCCCGAAACAGACCCACACAATGTCGAACCAGAACCACCATGATCATAAAATACAGGCTGCATTATCATCTTTAATTCCTAATTATTCTCATTTCAACTTTCAGCTTTTTTCAAGCAACTATCTCGTTTCCTCCCGCTCATGTTGACTGTGAATGAAATGTATTCTGCGTTCAGTAAAGCAGCTTTCATACACTGTTGGGGAACAGAGAACTGTCTAGACCTGCTTCATATAAAAAGTGCAATGAGAAGCCTTTTGTTATGAATTGCCGCTATATAAATAAAACTGAAACCATTTGAAATAACAAACCTGGATTTTAACATTTACCTGGGCAGGTAAACCTCCTGAATTCCAGAGTGAAAACAAACATCATGCTGATTGTAGAAAGACTCACAAAACACTTAAAAAGAAATAATAAACTCTATATTGGTGTCAGAATGTGTTTCTACCATAACTAATCCTCAGTTTCACTGCTCAGACCTGAGCACCAGCTAACAATTACATAGAACATGAAATGAGGCCTGATGGTAATGAAATGTCAGGGTGGGCTGTCCGCTAGCTCACATCACATAGCTCATTTTAAGTAAAAGAAATGCTAATTACGAAACTCTGAAGGTGGGAAAGTTAGTTTATTAAAGAAGCTAGATATCGAACTGCTGACGTCTCCATTAGTGTGACGCACTGGACTGGAGCAGCTGCCGATGCCAGTGATGCGGGCAGCCAACACCTTCAACTAACAGGTTAGGGAATGGTACGGTCCATTTTAGGGGCGTCAGAAATCGTATTTCAAGATTCTTCAATATAAGGCATGAGTTCGGGAAATATACTGTGATATTTACAATGACAGGTAAGAAAGACCCACAGAACTGTTGGTTTTGCCTCTGTTGTGGGGGGTCAAAGCCTAAATAAGCCCCCCTGTAATTTGAACCATGGACAAAATCGTATCAAATGGGGGTCCGAGGTCCAATTTGTGTCAGTTAGGGGTCCTTGACAAGAAAGGTTTGAGAACCACTGGTTTACAGGATGTGTACTTCATGAAAATACTGTATTTTACATAGAAATTGCATTTCTACAGCACGCACTGGCCTATATTTGGCTTTCGATTTAATAAATGCACAAAGGTTATAACTGATGATCTTGATTGTACATTTACAGCACGAACAGCAACTATTAGACATTAAATGGATTGACCTTAAGTGTTTGTTTCTTCCTTTACTAAAAATGAGTGAATGAAATTGACTGTAATCAAACAGTAATACAGTAACAATAGATAAGTGTATTAATATATACACACACACACACCTCATGAATTTCCACATTTAAGTAATTAAGTCACCAAAAACAGCCCTGACCCATTGAGACCTGGACTCTGAAGGTGTGCTGTGGTATCTGGCTCCAAGACTTCAGCAGCAGATCCTTTAAGTCCTGTAAGATGTGAGGTGGGGCCTCCATGTACCGGACTTGTTTGTCCAGCACATCCCAGATGCTCGGCTGGATTGAGATCTGGGGAGTTTTGGAGGCCAAGTCAACACTTTGAACTTGTTTTTTTGTGTTCCTCAAACGGCCCCTGAACCATTTCTGCTGTCAGAGGTAATCCTGTGTCCGTGAAAGGGTGCAGCGATGCTTTGAGTAGGTGGTCCGTGTCAAAGAAACATCTACATGAGCGGCAGGACCCGGGGTTTCCCAGCGTCGCGCTGGCTCCGCCGGCTCGTCTACTTCCCATAGTGCAAACAAGGAATTTGAGTGTCCTGAGAACAACACACTGGTGAGACAGGCGCTGCTAACACTCTGCTGCTAACGTGGACACAACGTCATCTTC